AGACAGACAGACAGACAGACAGACAGACAGACAGACAGACAGACAGATTTTACTTCCTTCAAAGTCGTATATATTAAACTCTTCAAATCTAAAAAAGCCCAGTCTATTTTGATAATTGTGACTATTACTATTATATTAAAAATAAAATATTTTAAATGGGTTTCATTGCTTGTTTGTTTTTTAAGGCAGAATAAAAAGTGAGAAAACGTTTAGATAAAAACGTTAAAACTAATGAATGCACAAAATTACCAGTGCGTTCAGGAAACATGGAGGTCAAGCACATGAGACTCACCAAGTATGTTCTCGTGTCTCATTAAAACCGTCTGGTAAATTTCAGTCTCTCTGAACCAGCTGGCCTCCTCGGTGGTGAAGAAGACTTTAACGGCCACCTTTTCTCCCCTCCACCTGCCCATCCACACCTCCCCGTACCTCCCCTTGCCGATCTGCTTCACCATCTGAATCTGCTTGGCTATTGTTCTCTGGACCTGAGGAACAGCAAAAGCAGGAAATGTGTGGGTAAGTAAAAAAAAAATACTACTCAGTCTAAATAAAATTTATACGTAAAATAGCTCTTAGAATAATCAAGAACTTTTTTAACTGCTGTAGAATCTGATTAAAACAAATATTTTAAATAGTTCGTAATTCTAAAATTTACAACTGATAATTCACCACCAATGGAAAACTAAATTAAAAAAAGCCTTTAAAAATCTAGAGTTATGTTTATAAGCTGGTGCTTGCAGTGCTTTGTGGGTATCTTACCAACAGAGGGAGACCGGAGCCTGAGCCAGAACTTTGTGATTGCTCAATCAGATCCTTCAGGGACTCTCCTGGTGGAATGTACGTCTCATCCTGTTCCAAACCAATGCTGTACCGCGGACGAGACTCTTGTCTCTTGTACCTGTTTGCAGAATAAGAGCAGAGTGAAGTGCACTGGGTGTGGGACAAAGTTTCTGATGACTGATGTGTCTGATTACCTGAAGTAGCAGAACACAACGATGACGGCCAATATAAGGCTGCAGATAGTGACTGAAATCAGCAGTGCCATGTGGTGGATCTTTCCATCTACGTAGACTAGACAAGAACAATAAAAAAATAAATAATGAGAAAATGGCATGTAATCAATATTAATTGTCAGTCACAGGAATAAAAATTAAGATCCACATTTGTCTTTTTCCAAGCTTTTCTTGATGATTGTGCAACAAATGGAAACAAAGATGCACAAAAAAGTCAAGCTCAAACAGATAAAAAATATGGATTCAACATTGTAACATCACTTACAGAAAAAATGAAGACGCTGTAGACATTTCACCCTAATGTATTTATTCTCATAAGTCACACAGTACAGTAAATCATGCACAAATCATATTTCACTCATCAATTTTTCATTTTCTTTTGGCACACTCAAGACCCTGTCGACAGCAAGAGGAAGCCCTCGGCCTCGTCGATGAATTCTCCTCTTGATCCCTTATGATAAGGTTACAGATTGATGACTCTGCCCTCAGCGTCTGCTGAGGCGCGTGATTTCCCAGGGAATCTTGACTTACTGTTTCTGAAATACTCAAAAAGACAGCTTCTCCCTCTCACCCAGAGTATAATGTTGAACTCTGCAGAGACCTTGGTTTCGCTTGATGCTGTGGTGAGCTGAAGGACAGCTTGACACCAGCCCTCGATTCCTGACAATGTCATGATAACTTTAAAAGCTCGGACGAATCACTTTATCTCTTTTCATTTATCATTCCTCATTTTTAAATGAACACCACCACACTGTAGATAGCTGGAGCACAAAGAGAGTAAGAAAAATAATTGGAGGTCTGAAAGTGGAGAGATTAACTTACGAGGTGGTTTTAGCGGCGGCAGTGTGGGATGCAGGTTTCTGTTACAGTAATCTTCGTCTGTGCAGCACTCTAACGATCTCCTCTGATGGGGGATTCCTGTGTCCTGAAGACAGAAAAGTATTTAAAAAATAGATCTCATGTTCCTTGGCTTCATTTTTTCCCCCACAGTGTAGTAAAAACCTGATAACATGCGAGTTTTGGAAAAAAAAATACTATTGATCTAGAATCAAAAATAAACCCAACTTTACAAACAAGTTAGTATTTAAAACTTAAATTGTCCAAAACCATAGAGTAATACATAAAACAACAAAGAAAATTAAAAAGCTTGCTTGTACCTTACACTTTAGCACTGTAGTCAAGTTAAAGTGTTAGTTCAAGTCTCGTGTTTTCTTTCTTTCTTGTATTCTTTCAACTTCCTTGTGCAAATTTAAACTTTTATTCAGCTACTTTCAGCTAATTTCAGCTGTTTTGTACTTCATTCAGATTATTTCTGCTAACTACAACTTTGTCGTGCTTCTAAATTCTTTCTGCTAATTTCAGCTTATTATTCTCCTTTCAGCTTATTTCAAGTTTCAGCTTTTTCCTGCTATTTCAGCTACTATTTTGATGTTCTTATGCTAGTTTTAGCTTTTTCAGCTAATTCCCCATTTTTTGCACTCATTTAAACTTTTTTCCACCTTATTCAGCAAAAATGTGCTCTCTCCACATCCTTCTGGTAATTTAAGCTCCTTTCTGCTCTTTAGCTACTTTTCAGCTGTTTTTTCTTTGTTGTTGCTAATTTCAGCTTTTTTCAGATATTTTCCACTTTGTTGTGCTCATTTTTGCGTCTTTCATCCTAATTGGGCAAACATGTTCTTTCAGCTTTCTTCTGCTCATTTAAGCTCGTTCTACCTATTCAGCTACCTTTTTAACATTTTCTAGCTAATTCTGGCTGTTTACAGATAAATTCAAGCTTTTTGTGGTAATTTCTGCTACTTTCAATCTAATTAACTTCTTTTGGATAATTTCAGCTTGTTATATACTCCTTTCAGCTTATTTATGCTAGTTTCAGCTTTTTCTGCTATTTCAGCTACTATTTAGCTGTTTTATGATAGTTTTAGCTTTTTCAGCTAATTCCACCTTTTTGAGATCATTTAAGCTCTTTCCACTTCATTCTGGTAGTTTAAGCTTCTTCTGCCTTTCAGCTACTTTTCAGACGTTTTTTTTTTTCTTTCAGCCTCTTTCTTTAGCTCGTTTCCTAATTTGTGTGCTAATTTCTGCTTATTTAAACCCATTTCAGCGAATATGTGTTATTTCTGCTTTATTCTGTTAATTTAGGCTTGTTCTTCCATTTCAGCTAAATTTTAGCATGTTTTTTTTTTAGCTTATTTCAGCTTTGTCTCAGCAAGTTCTTCTGCAATAAGCATTCACACTGCATTTTGCATGAAATGCAATTTCTCTAGTTATCTTACCTGTTTCAGCATTTTAAATGAAAAGTAGAGTTTAGTTGAGACCAACTAAAAAAATCGAACAGCTAGTTTGAACAGGGTTAGGACCACAGAAGATTGCTGCTGTCTTAAAACAACTCTAGTCTCAAAACTTTCATAGCAAACAATTCTGTTTTGTTTTTATTTAATCTTTACACTGGCTTTATTTGAACATGGCAAGGTTATTCCAGCAATGTTATTATGATAAGCTTACTGGAAGTAGGCTGCATTGGAAGTGCTACAGCTAGCTGCTGCTGATTGTGTAAAATTCTAAGTAGATTAAATATCTATGTAATATGAAATTGGCAGCGATGAAAATAATGACTAAATGATTTGTTTGGAGTTGTTTTAAGGTGGCAGCCATCCACTTTGGTCTTTGATGGGGGATGTAAAGGTCAAGGATGTTTTTCACTTACTACTGTCAAAAAAGCATGTGTGTGAGTTAGAGTTGTTTTGTCCGACAATCTTGGTCCCACTTGGTGTCAGAATTAAATTGTTTCCCCACACCAAGATCAATTACAGAGATACATTCAACAGGTAAGATGCCATTTTTATAACCCTTCCACAAAACCACTCCTTAACAGATGAGAACTATAACTTTAAAACATGAAAATCGTTAGATTATGAAGCTATAGTCATCAACTCACCCTACACTGAAACTCTGATCCCACCAGGCCCAGGCAACCTGCAGTCTGGACCGGAACCCCTCCCTCCTCCTCCACCATGGTAAAACAGTACCCATCCGTCCTTCAAAAAGACATTCAGACACAATAAGTACCGCAATCAAAACTTGAGTAAGAAAAGCAGATGTGTGCACACTTTGTTTTATGTTTTCACTGCTTTACCGGCATATGTTTTTGGCTGAATCTTCTGGGCAGTGGTGATAACAGTGACACCACAGGAATCTTTGGGAAGACAAAGCAGGAGCTGTACTGCCAGAAGTCTCCTTCCCACTTTCCATTGCCTCTTTACTGGAGGTTTTCAGCAGCATGCTGTCCAATATGTTGCCTTTGAACAAAACAAGAGGGAAAAACACAAGGAAATAAACTGGGAGAGAAAATGCACCTTTCATCATTCAGATTTTCTGTCACGTTCAAGTAGATTTTATTGTCATGTCACCACATGTGGTATATGAGGTAGAACCAGAGCCCTGTAAAAAGAGAGTTGCGACACTCTTTGAACTCGCCGATACGCGGTCACGTGGTTCATGCAGCTCCCCATAGTTCCAAACAGCTCATCGCTGTCAGTCAGTTTGAGCGGCTGCTGGCGAAACATAACACAAAAATCGACTTTTCTTACTTTACCTGACGTCTTTCAGTAATTATTGAGCAGTAACGAACTGATTACTTAACTGATTACTGATTATTTCACAAACTATGCATTTTATCAAAGCATTTTTAGAAGCAGCTGATACATTTATCATTAAATTTTAGAAGGAAACGAGACTGCAAACACATATTTGTTAGAAAAATAATGTATATGCAATACAATGATCAATATAGCCATGTCAGTGTTTTATAACGTTACACACGTTAAAAAAAATCAGAGTAACTCCTGTTATAAAGCTGTTTCTGATGTTCGCTGCATGATAATGCTCCACCTTGTCCTCCATGAAGCATCAGATCTGCTCCAGCTTACCTCAGATCATCTGGATGAATTCTTGATTTCTATAGAAGATATTAATTCAACCTTTATTTAAACAGGTTAGTCCCATTGAGCCATGAGGACTCATTTACAAGAGAGACTGAATATAATTGTTGTATTTGTCGTTTTTTTATGGCAACCAAGTTCCTGATAACTGAGTTGATTGTAGCCTGACAACTATTGTAAAATTGTATCTCATTGATTAAAATGTTAATTTAAATTAAACTGTTTCTAGTTAAAATCATAACAGTGACAAAATAAGTGTTAACTGTGCAAAAATAAATTTCCAAACAATTATAAAATATGTAAAATGTAAAGCAAGCTTTAATAAAGTACTTTTACTACTATTTATACTGTTTATTAATGACATCATCTCAAGTCAGCAGGAGCACCATCATCATCATCACAACAACACAAAGTGAGAGCTGTAAATTTAATCTGTACAAACATTTTCAATCAGGGCTCAAAATGTTTAACTGTCAAAGAAATGTGCAAGAAAATAAACTAATGTCACTACAGACACATTTAGAGAGAGGACAGTTTACAGAGACACAGTCAGGACGTGTGAGACTGAAGGAGGTTCAACCATTTGTTCATGGACCAGAACCAGATGAGAAGAACAGCAGAACTTCCACTGACCAGTGATCTGACCAGTGATCTGACCAGTGACCTGACCAGTGATCTGACCAGTGATCTGACCAGTGACCTGACCAGTGATCACACATGTCGTTCTAAATTAAACTTTGGTACGAACAGTGTTAAATAAGACACGTCATATTTTTTATTGAACAATAATCTTCATTCTAACAGTGACGTTGTAATTTCAGAGACTGAGGAAGAAACAGAAATGAGGCGAGTGAGATGAGGGACAGAAGAAAATGTGTCCTCAGAGGACGGGGACATGTCAGGATCTGATGATCCAGGATCAACAGGACCAGGAGGATGGATCAACAGGACCAGGAGGATGGATCAACAGGACCAGGAGGATGGATCAACAGGCAGTCAGGGAACAGAGATGAAAAACCTGAGGAACAATTAGAACAAAAAAATACATAAGCAGGACAGAAGAAACTCACAGACAAGAAAATTAACTCAGTCCTGCGAAGAAAAATATTAACAATGGAAAATAAATTGGCATATTTTTACAAAAGATCAGATGAAGACAACTGGCATGAAGAAGAACTTCCAGCTCCATCTCAATGTACCTGTGATAGTTTAATAAGTGTTTTTGTTACTGTCCTACAGTTTATTGATGCTGATATGTTCTTGGTAATAATTCTTATTTCTTGTTCTGTCTTGAAAGAGTCTCATCTCAACTTGACCCATGATTACCAAACACTAAACTAATATTATAAAACTGATGTAAATGAACAGTCCTGCAGTAAATACCAACTTTGTGAAGGTTATGGTGTTAAAGTAATTTTATTCAAACATCTTGATTAAGCTGTTACTGATTAATAGAAGACAGAAAATGAGATCTTGTACCTTTGTGATACTTTGAATGCAACATTCAGTTCATGAAGTCATTCTCCTGTGGTTTACCTGGAAAACATGAAAAAAAAAAAGACTCTTCTCCACAATCATGTTTTTCTTTAATGATAATGTCACAATTTATGCTGCAGTCTTTGACAAATGATCTATAACTTTAACTAAATTACATCAGTCTTGTTGTCATGTTGTCATCATTCTTTGTTAAATCAGGTCTCTCTTGTAAATGAGTCCTCGAGGCTCAATGGGATTTACTGTAGAAATAAAGGTTGAATGAATCTCTCAGGAAAAAAGACCAAATATTTTCTAGTTGAGTTCAGTAACTGGAATTACCATAAATTTAAAAAAGACCACCTTTCAAAATGTAAGCAGTAATAGATATTTAAAAAAGTTGAATTAGAAATAGACCCGTTTAAACCGTCATGTTGCAGAGCAGCACACAACTAGTAATTTAACATGTTTCATTAACTAAAACTGGCGACATGAAGTATTAAAGTGGATAAATTGAGGTACAGAACAGTCAGATAACGCTTCACAATGGAGAAAAAGTGTCGTATTTGCATTAACTTACCGGAAAAACACGGAAAATGAACTACGTTCAATGCTGAACCCGCTGCTGTTTGGAACTCTTTGCCGCTTCATGACCCACGTGACTTCCGCATTCCATTCTTTCTATGGGAGTCTATGGGAGTGTCGCAACTCTCTTTTTACAGGGCTCTGGGTAGAACAAAATAATGTACAATTGCAGAGTAAAACGCACTTCTAACAATAGCATGGACAGACACTAGCTCGACTATGAGCCCCCAAATTTTATTTTCATAAATATTTCCAACTGCTGTGCAAAAGACTTGAAACATCCCAGATATTTGTATATTTTGCTTCCAAATAATTATATATTCTTGTAATTTATATGTTTAATACTTTGTCACGTTTTTCTGAAAGGCTCTTAAAAAGTTTTTCTGTGGACTTTAGTTAATTATTTAACTAATTTTCTGTCCAGTACCAGAATTGCTTCCCTGTTCTTTGAATCCATGATTTGTTTAGTGATATATAAAAACATTTTTAATGTGAGGGAAGAACTAGAGTTGTATTGACACATAATAGGGAATGTTGGAGATGCAGTTTTAAATTGTACTTTTAAGCTTTGTTTCCAGCAGCTGGTTACAAACAGTAAAAGTGGATAAAATGGTGTACCAGTAAAGTAAAAGTAATAGAGGTGTACCACAAGGCTGAGTCAAGATCCACCTTCTTCACAATCTACATAGGTAATGTAGGCCATAGCATCCCTGATGCATCCTTACATTTCTATGCTGACAATACAGTTGTTTACTGTCGAGCTTAAACAGTTGCTAAGGTTTTCCAGCTTTTGCAATCCACTTTTGACATCATCCAGTTAAATTTATTCCGTCTCAAACTTGTACTAAATGTCGACAAAACCAAAGGGATGTTGTTTTGAAACAGGAAGTCGGACCCAGCAGTTCTCCCTTCGATTTTATCCTTGAATGGTGCTCCTAGTGAGTTTGTCGATTCCTACAAATATTTGGGTATCTTGGTCGATTCGCATCTCTCTTTTAAGCTCCACATGGAAAACTTGGTAAGGACACTGAAAGTTAAACTGGGTTTCTTTTTCAGAAACAGATCCTGTCTAACTCTAAATGCTAGGAAACGCCTTGTGACTGTGACTTTTCTTCCCTCCATTGACTACGATGACATTATTTACATGAACGCTCCTACAAGAACCCTGCAGATGTTGGATGTTGTCTATCATGGTGCACTAAGATTCATAACTGGCTGTGTTTATCGTACCCACCACTGCTCCCTGTATTCACTGGTTAACTGGTCATCATTAACTTCAAACAGACTCTCTCACTGGTTCATTTTCATCTTTAAATCACTTCTTGGTCTGCTGCCTTCATACATCTCCTCCTACATGTCTCTGTGTGAGTTCAGCTACAGCATTCGCTCTCAGGGCATTATTACCTGCAGTGTTCCCTCACTGCGGACTGAACTAGGCAAAAGGACCTTCTCCTACTCCGCTCCTGTTTCCTGGAATATCTTGTAAAAAGATCTGAAGCTCTCGACCTTGACCTCTCTAAGTGGCTTTAAACATCTGCTAAGTTCATGGCAAAAACCAATGCAGACATGTTCCTGTTGTTAGTTTTCTACATCGCTTTACAACCTAGCTGTTTTTTTGTTTGTTTTTAATACCATTTTCTTTCATTTGTTCTTCTCAGTTTGTATGCTTTCTTTTATGATTGTCTACTGTCTTTGTTGTCTACTGTTGTCATCACTCTTTGTTAAAATCAGGTCTCTCTTGTAAATGGGGCATCGAGGCTCAATGTGACTAATTTGTATAAATAAAGGTTGAATTAAAAAAAAAGTGATCCAATTTCATTATGCGTATCTGAAAAATATCATGCATGAGAGTTTGACAGACACAAAAATGGAATATAAGCAAATAACAAAATGTTATTTACTGAAAACTTGGCCACGGTCAAGTACAATGAATGACAAAAAATTTAATAAAATTTAAAAAAAGATGACCCCCCCACCCCCACCCCCACCACAAAAAAAAAAGTAAGAGACTTCCAGAAAGGCTGAATAACTACTAGTAAAACCACTCAAAACTACTAGAAAAACTAACTTCTTGGAAGCAAAGCATAACGAAATAGGGGATTTGTTTAAAACTTCTGCTTGGTACTTTATGCTACAGGTAGATGTTAGATAAAGAGAAAACCAGCAATAATATTGAACATATCTAAATGTACACAAGGATAAAAAAAAAAAAAGGCACAAACGGCTGAAAACAGAAAAAAGTTGGACATGTTTATTTATAAATTGACATGTTAATAATCTCTACAGCCAACCAACCACCT